AACTAAGTTTAGGGTTATTAATAAAATAGTTTAAAAATAAAAAAAACAAAATTTTAACTTTCTGTGCCTGTGCGTATGTATACACACACAATGTGAAATATATATATATATATATATATATATATAACAAATTAACTTCAACAGTATTAAAGGTGAGGTAATTGTTTTATAATTTAAATATTGTGTAAAAATTGAGAGGCTGAATTATAAAAATTGTATAGAATGCATTTTTTTTTCCTTTATTGAACTGTAGATTTATTATTTCGGTTGCCATGTAACGTGATAGTTATGCATGACATATCTGTGTTTTAGCAAGAATTTAATAATAACATGAGGAAGATGTCTCTGTTTTTCTATTCAAATTGTTAAAAAATTTCTTTAGGGGATGACCTGTGATTGAATTCAAATACAAAAAAACTTATTGCAACTAATATAATTTTATAGAGAAACTTTGTTTTCCATTTCCAGTATAAAGAACATTTGTAGAATAACTTGTACTTCGATAGGATTGTTATTAAGTTATTTTAAAGTTTGGGACATGTTTAGATAGAAGGCTATAATCATCACTTGTTATTTAATTCAGATAAAAGTTAATGGATGCTGAAACTTTTTTTTTTCCTTTTAATCTGTCAATTGTATGATGATATTTTAGAATTATAGGAAACCATTGTTTGGGGTAAATTATTTTTGTATCGTATATATAAAGCAAATATTTGAATATTTGTAATTTTCACTATCACTGAATGATCACAATCCAATCAGTAGTAAATAAAAAGCCAATGAAGGCAAATAAAAACATTGAAATTGTGTTTATTTTGTTTGCAGTGCTTTTTAAGTTTATGGAAGATTTTAGGAAAGGCAGAAAATGTCTAAATGTATTGTTGCTCATTTCTTTGGGTTGTGTTTAGATAAATCCAGATTACATGCTGAAGTATTTCTATATGATTTTGAGATTTAAAATATTACGCATAAAACACTACCACAATAATCAAATTTGAATCCAGTTTCATCCCCTAATCAGGATTCACTGTTTTATCCGTTTGACAACATTTTCTGTATTGTAGCCTAATAGTAATTTGTGAACATAAATGTTTGTCTCCAAGAAACCAGTTATTGTTACACTAGATTATGAAAATTGCGTTGAATATTAAGATTATTTTCATAGATACTATAGTTTTACAGTGCTGCATTAAGATGAGCAAATATTACTAGCAACCAATTCAAAAGTTATTAAGAATAAGAAAATCACAAGTTACGTATTTTGCTTATGAGAGATCTTCTCTAGAACGTTTCGTTCTGTCTTATAATGTTGAAGATAGATGAATAAATTATTTGTACTCTAGATTTTTTTATCTTTTAGTAATAACACTATCACTAATTTAGCTGAAACTATGGGCCTGTCTTATTATGAAAGATGTACCCTCCTTTTTGATAACGAGGAATCCGGCACACATTTCAAAAACAAAATTCCCTTAAAAATAACTCGCACAGGCCTCTACATCTGGAATTCCGCCCATGAAAACAAAAAAATAATATACTAAAAAATCTTATACACAGCTTCAAAACTTTGCATAACTGAATACATGGATGAAGAAATAAATTCTATAAAGCATTCCTTCATTCACACCAACAACTTTCTACTTACCATTGTCGAAACATTTTCACACAACCGCCAGAACAAAACTCAACTCACAAACACAATTGACACTAATACACCAAACAACAACACAACATTACACTGCAGTTTACCATTTATCCCTGACATCATATAAAAATTAATCAACACTTTGAGAAAACTTGCCATCAAACATAAAATTCCTGTTGACGTCAAATTCCCCCCAAAACCGGCACTAAACTAAAATCATTATTAAATAAAAATTACATAGAGTCACACAATTCCGACGTCATATATAAAATAACATGCAATAACTGTCCAGAATTTTACATCAGAGAAACGGGTAGAAAATTGTAAACCAGATTCACTGAACGTAATAATAATCAAAAAACCTCCCATGTTTACCACCATTGCAACTAAAAAAACACAGTATAT